TTGTTTGTTTAAACCTTCCCCTACTTAGAGTTAATTGCTAAAGGCATCTCAGTGTCTCTGCCCCCAGAAGCTGAGCTTAGTGAAGGCCGTTTTTCTCCCCGTTCTCTCCTGCAGGTCAGCACACAGAACATGAAGATGGGTGGGCTTCCTCGTACAACACCGCCCACCCAGAAGCCACCAAGTCCACCGATGTCAGGAAAAGGAACTATTGGGTAAGTGCAGTTACTGAATGGGTACATGGCTTTGGTGAACAGAAGGGAAAAGAGGGAAGGTTCTTTCTTTTTCTGTTGTGTGAGGATTTTTTTGGCTTTTTTTTAACCATTCACAAAGATCAAGAGGTGTTAGATCTGCATTCTCTTTTACTGATTGTGTCTTCTGTGTTAGTGTGCTCCTGCCAGAAGACAGTGGGCATCATCAGCCTTTCCCAACAGGAACCTTTTTCTCGTTTCAGAACACCTACTAAGTGTTTTGGAGTAAAATGTCATTAACTATGTGGCTTTGGCAGGTGGTGCTAAACAACTGAACAATTAGTACGTGGCACTGTTCATTAATTATTTGTGCTGAGTGTGATAAAAGTACTTTCCTGTTAAGTCTGTGAGCTTGACTTTGGCCTTTCGCTCACGTTAGTGATGAGTACGTAGCTGTCTTGTAAAGAGCGCCAGGTCTGGTTTTGTGTGTGTTACCTTGGCTTGTTTGCCGTGCGCAGGCGTCACTCCCCGTACCGCACGCTGGAGCCGGTGAGGCCCCCGGTGGTGCCCAACGACTACGTGCCGAGCCCCACGCGCAACATGGCACCCTCCCAGCAGAGCCCCGTCAGAACCGCCTCCGTCAACCAGAGGAACCGCACCTACAGGTACCGCACCTACAGGTACCGCAGAGCACGGCGCAGAAAGTGCTCTGCCGAATGTCAGACCTGTCTGCGCCTGCCTCTGCACTGAGGCTTCCTCATCGGTCACGTGTGCTGGGAACGTAGTTTGGCATGATGAGAATGGGCGCTAATAAAACCAGAATATTGAATTATGTTACGGTCGTTCACTTAATCCCCATATTCACCTTTATTTTAGTGCTATCAGTTACAATACTGAAGGAATTACTGATTGTGAAGTCTTTCAAGGAGGTAGACCATGATACTATTTTACTAAATGCTTCTAAAACTGGGGAAAGATTCTGTACACATCTTGCCTTCTGTATGTTGAAGGGCTGCACAGTATGCTTACACATGACATTTTTGATCAGTCTTTGAACTGTGTAGGTTGAGTAGATGAAATTGTAGCATAGTATTTTGAAGATATTGATAATTTCCAACTGAATAAAGCTGAACTATATTACCAAAGGTTCTGCTAGAAGACTAGCCTTTTCTTTAGGATAATAAGTTTCATGATATGATAGGTTTAAATACTTCCCTGAAATTCTTTACTTTTTAAGCATTGTGAGTACTTGAGGATGCCTAAACAGATGGAATCTTTAAGTATAAGAAATGTGAATTTTACTTTATTATCTTACAGTTTCTCGTATGAAAGCACATGAATCACAGTTTAAGCAGTCTACATGTTTTAAAGTTATAGGAAAAAGGTCTGTATTTGCTCCACAGGGGTTTAATAATCCTGGAATAATGTGCTTTGAACAAGGTTACAGAAGTGTTTCATTTTTGGTCAAGTTCACTAAGATTAACTGGAAAACCTGTTGTGTTGTAGTCAAAGTGAAGAGTTTTAGGAAAATCCAGCTTTATATAGGTTTATATCATCCTTGTTTCTTTTCTCTTGTTCCCTGTTACCTCTCTGATGTAGTAAGGTGCTATATGAGGGATCTTAGGTTTCAGCATGCACAGCAGCATATTCATACCCTGGTGATTTTGGTTTCTTACAGCAGCAGTGGGAGTAGTGGAGGAAGCCACCCAAGTAGTCGGAGCAGCAGTCGAGAGAACAGTGGAAGTGGAAGTGTAGGTGTTCCCATTGCTGTTCCCACACCATCTCCTCCTAGTGTTTATCCAGGTAAATGGAAACTTACTGTTCCTCTTTCTAACTCAACAGTAACCTTGAGCATTTGCAGTTTCCCTAAACTCCAAGGAAAGTCTGAGTTCATTGCTATTGATAGTATGAGTTTGAACCAATTAGTATCTTCTCTGAGAGTGTCTGATGTGCTGTTATGCTCCTTTTATGTATTGATTTGTTTATCAGAATTTTTTGCTTGACTACCTGCATGTGGCAAGGTAGGACACAGCACCTTTTTCACTGGGCTGAGGAAAACTTCTCCATTGTCCTTTTAAGTAAATAAATGCTTTTTCATTGGCTGTTAATGCAGATACATAGAAGTATGTTTTTAGAAAATTAGACTAAATAAGAGGCAGGCACAGAGTAAATCTTCAGTACATTAACGCAAGCCTGAGTTGTCACAAAGAGATACTTGTTCAGTGTAATGGCCCCAGTCTTTCCAGATATAGGAAGTGTTATGTTTCTTTTTCCTTTGCTCAACCTTTTCAGTGAAGAAGAGTGTATAGTTGGCTTGCAGCATGATCTGAAGTACATGGTGCTTCTGAAACAAAGAGATGGGAATTTTTTGCTTTCCTCTTTATATTTTCTAATTCATAGAAAAGCTAAAGTGGGCCATGCTACAGATTGAAGCACAAATAACGAAACGTAAAGACATCTTTCAAAAGTAATGGCTTTCAGTGAAAAGTTCTGGGTCGTTCCCTTCAGATCTGGAAAGAAGTGTATTTGCTTGACCCTCATTTACCATCTACATAGGAATGAGCCTTTCTTTAACAGCTCCATTGTTCTCTCATCTCGTGCATTCTAAAATACTATGCAGCTAATAAAGAGCTAACACTGAATAGTCAAAGGCTTTCTCTAATCCTTGCTAACATATCTCCTTATTAACTCCACCTCTTCCTCCTCTCTTCACTTAGCCCCTGCTGGCTCAGCTGGCACTTCTCCCCTTCCTGCTACCTCTGCTCCTGCCCCCACTCCTCCTGCTCCTGCCCCTCCCTCTGCTGCCCCAGATGCTGCTGCTGCTGCAGGAGCTCAGCCCCTTGCTGATGGCTTCACCTCTCCAACTCCCCCCGCTGTTTCTTCCACACCCTCTACAGGTGAGTGTCTGCTTCAGCTGCTGGCAGATGAACCCAGATGTGATCATGATCCAAAGCTTTGCAAAGTTATGTCAGCAGCTGTGATTAATAATTTTTTTAAAAATTAAATTATAACTAGAAAATATGTGCTACTACCCAACAATAAGGTTATAGTAAGGTTATAGTAGGCAATTGAAGGTGTGCTAGTTTTATAAACAGCAGTCATTAATTTTTTCATTTGACTATTTTTACACTTCTATAATTATTTTTTAAGTTGTAATTTTATTTCTGTTTGGATACTGAGAACCTCACAGAAGAATGATGTTTGGAGGGAAACAGCACTGATAGTTCTGGATCGGATTATTCTCTTTCATTAATGGAATAAATAAAAAGTGCATCTAGCAAAGTATAATTTATATGACTGGTCTCTTCAATGCTTTCAAATGATAAGTCTCCCTTCAAGGAACTGATAAAAAGGGCAGGTTTTTTGTGTTCAGTATTAGGTAAAATACAAGTTTTTATTATGCAGAATAATATTAAAACATTTTGTTTTAATATGTGGTACTTAGGTTTATATTGCAGCTTCCTTTTTTTAGTGCTGCAGTTTTCATTTTCTCATGCTGAAGTTGCAGTGTGTAGTAGTTACCAACCACCCCACTGTCCTGTATCAGCTTTTGATGAGGAGGTACACCTGCATTGTAGGCATCTCCTTTAGACAGCCAAATTCACGTGTAGCTGTCTGCATGCTGAGTTACTCTTCACTGTAGTGGAGGCTGCTCACAAGGGTATGAATTGGTTTGTGTGTTTATTAGTGTTCATATCTCTTAGTAAGAATTGTACCAGGTTCCAGAAGCATTCTTGAAATTGCATTTCGTTTAAGAGGCTGTGGCTCATATAAAATTAGAAAACGCACTAGAATCCATAACTGTGACTAGAACTTTCCAAAGCGTGGTGAATTTTGGTATCAGAAGATGATCCTGATGTCTAAACTACTTTTACATTTAGAAGATGAGCTGTGACATATGGAGCCTCAATCAGTTTTCTGGTTTTGATGCACTGTCAGTATCCTAGTTCTTAAGCCATGTTGTTTCTGTATTTTTAACAAGTCACAATCGAGGAGAGGCTAATATTTTAATGGCTGTAAATTCACATTCACAATTCCATGAAAGAAATTTCAGGTTACTTACTATTTTTAACATCTTTTATTTCCCTGTGCTATTAGTGAGATTGCTTGTATGGCATCTCTGGAATAAAGTATTTGAAGAAACTGGATAATTCACTATTTATGAGGTTGTAGTTTTTGATCCTTAAAAACCTCTTATCCCTGATTTTAATCTCCTTCCTTCTCTCCAGTCACCACCAATTTCTACCAGTGCATTAAGGAACAGAGGGAGAGACGCATCAGGAAAAATGTGAAAAAGCCCATATACTAGGTGGATTCTTTCTTAGCTGTTCCTCATCTGTAAAAAGTGCATTTTTAAAAATATACTTACCTGTACAAAGCAGGAGGAATGTGAATCTCTAGTTCATGCATTTGCTCTTAGAAGCAAGTAACAGAGCATTTTTATTTACTGACCTAGTGTGAAGTTTTGCAAAACAATAAAATCAGGGTGGAGAACAATGCATGTTTTTTAAAAATTGCACATTCCTTTGTTCTGTTTCCCTTTTTGATTCTCTCCTCAACCACAGTGGACATCCCTTGTTTTCTTGCAAACTCTGAAATTTACTTCTGGGACAAATGGTGGAGACAGAATAGTCTGTGGGGGGTAATAACCCATATGGGTATAATAAATCCGGCTTCCTGTTACATACAGTATAAAATCTAGAGAACTTTATGTGAGCACAGAAAATAGCTTGCTTCATTCATTTCTTGCTTAGATTCAGGATTAATGACTTGAACACACGAAGTAATGAAAACAGAGAGCAAGTTCTAAAGAATTGGCAGCTCCTGAAAGAGGGCTTTTGAGTATGACTTTATTTATTCCATCCTTTAAGCAGTTTCTAACATTCTCTTCTCCCCAGATGATCCTCTGCATATCTTCTGAATAGCACTAAGATAGGTAGTATTGTTTTTTCAGTTCTAGAAAGTAACAGCCATGAATCCTGGAAATGGCATACAATTATTTTTTACATGTATGTTCCTTAATTGCAGGACTCTGAAGTGTTATTTTTCTGCAGGCTTATAAATAATTGAATTTGCAAGATGTTACTGTAATCCATTGTGTAAAATAGATAACTGGGAATTATTTTCTTCCATTCTGAAGCTTTGTAGCTTAGACACCTTTGTATTTTCATGCTGGCTTTTGTAAGCAATGCTGAGTACAGATAGCTGGGAGAGTTGAACGTGTTGCTGTTGAGACATCCAGAGTCCTGCCAGTCTGGCAGCATCCTTCTAGGATGCAAACAGTCTTAAAAAACCCAGAAACCTTTCCAAGCGTTTGAAACTTGAATGCAGATATAAAAAAGACAGACATCAGTCTTCTCTTTGCTAATACCTGTCTCTTTCTCACCCAGGTCACCCAGTTCAGTTCTACAGCATGAACAGGCCTGCATCTCGACACACCCCCCCGACAATAGGGGGCTCTTTGCCATATCGGCGTCCTCCTTCCATCACATCCCAGACAAGCCTTCAGAATCAGATGAATGGAGGACCTTTTTATAACCAGAACCCAGGTAAAAAAGTTTGTCTGCTCCGTTGAATTCAACAGTGGTGAAAGGAATGACCTTCAGGTCTCTGAAATTTTATGTTCTATCTCCATTGCAGATCTTACACTTCCAGTATGTTGCTGGTAGCCATGCCAAACCTGCAGTGCAAGTGCAGAGTGTCCAGCTTCCATTATGGCAAACAGCTTAAAACAATACTGGCTTTGTTGCCAAATAATTTATTTATTGATGTCACAGTCCCTATCATACAAGCTTTAGTCCTTGACTACACCATGTACCTGCTTTGGTGTGGGATGGGTATTTGAGTTTGCTGATTCTTCATTTATCAGTCTTTGTCTTGTGTACTTTTTTCTTCTGGTTAATGGACAGTTCAAGAAATTGCACTTGTTATACAAGGGTGAGCATTAGACACTTCAGAGACATCAGTGGTGTTCGGCATGGGATGCAAGGGAACTGTGTCATCTTCTAACCCTCCAAGGGATGTTATTTTAATGGCAACCTGCCTTAGAGAGCAAGATGAGATATTAACAGGGAGTGGCATGGCCTGTGTGTCAGTATAACACAGCAGCCTTGTATCTGAGGAGTCCTTTGTCCTGTTCTTCTGAAGAGATGTGAAGGTTTTGATACCAGAGTGAGGAAGAGTTTCTCTTTTGACAAAGCTACAAAAAGATGCAGCAAGATTGAATGTTGACTTGCAAGCACTACAGTGTGTTGCTGTTTTGTGGTGGTTATGGTGGTGGGTTTTGAGGTGTGTGTGTGTTTGCTGGCTTTTTTCAGAGTTGAGCACTGAACTTGGAATTAGGTCAAGTGCTGCAGTCTGCATTTAAGGGATTTGATCAGGTTCGAATATTACTGTTTGTGAGCTACCCTGAAGAGAGATGTGTGCTGAACTTGAGAAGGAAGTTGGGTGGTCCTGCTAGGGACAGGGGTGTGGAAGAAGTTACATGACTAAATTGTAGCTCAGTTGCCTGAAATATGTGGTATTTTTTAAGCACATTATGTGCATATTGAAGGCTGAAGGGGGGAATAGGCAAGAAGGAAAGAGTAATAGCAATTAAAGAAACCTTTCAGAATTACCTTTGCAATAAAGAGGATTTTCAGTATATCCAGAGAGTTTTTGACAACTGCTATGCATTTCTGCTTTAGCAAAGGGATAATTCTCTGCAAGCTGCCGTGGCATTGTTAATAGGTAATCACGGAAGATGCCAAATAGACTTTAAAGAAGTTACATAACCACATTCAGTCTGTGTACCCAGAAAGAAGATAATGATTATGGTGATTATTCACTTGAACTGTAAATTACAAGCAAAATACTTCAATTATACTGGCATATCTAATACAATATAAATAAGCAGTTTTAGTACGAGACTTTTTTTGATATACCTAGCAGAGTACAGAATTTGTTAGCTTTGCAGTTACACTAAACCAGGTTTTCTTTGGAGTGTGCCTTGAAAGGAGGGGATGCTCAAGCATGCATAATTGATGAAGACCCTAAGAACAGAGGCACTGTTGTGTCTGTAAGGAGCAGGGTTAGTGACAGGACAGAGACCGCAATTGCTTCTTAGCATTCCTGAAGAGAGGGAGAAAATAGAAACATAAGAGGTGAAAAAGAGACCTTACAAGAGGCATAAGAGTGTGCCAGCTATGGCTTCTTGTTCTTTGTATGCTGTTTGGCAATAACACAGTACTGTTATTTCCAGTGCCATTTTCTAGTATGTTGGCATAGTCATGTTTGTTTGTTCACTTGTCACAGGGATGAAAGATACTTGCATTGCCATGTTCCGTTGAATGCCACTTCAAAGATAATATAATTTTTCTGCTTCATGGTTAGACTTCATGGTGTAGCAACTGAAAAGAAAATATTAAGAAATGCAGACCCTAAATAATCTCAGCATATGTCTGTCCCAAAGCCGCTCTTGCCAGCCGTACCACCTTTGCAACCTTAGATACCAGTATCGAAGCAGTATAAAGCTCAGCACAGGCTAAAAACCCTGTGGGAGAAACTGGGCAAGTATTGAGGTGGGCACTGCACCCTGTTTGTACAGCTGAATTTTTACCTAGGGGAAGGTGCTCGTGAGCATTTCTGAATTAATTTACAGCAACTGTGAATCTATTGGTGGTCAGCCTGTATGGAAGGAAGGTGGGAGGCAACATTTAAGCTGGTATTTAGCTCATATTTTGAGACAGCAGAGGTACATTGAAGTTCTTCTGATGCACTGTATTAACAAGACCAATATTAATAAAATGTAATATGATAGTCCCTGCACAATGCACAGACTGAAGTACAAACCAGAGGGTTAAGGTAAACAAGGAATGATGTCAGCCAGTGTTAGCATCACCATTTTGACTAAACTATACAACCCAAAGTAATCTAAGGGATTTTTTCTGTTTGCTTGGAGTGTTTGTTTAGAGTGATTAATTTTTTGCCATGGAAAAATGTTTCGCCTCGTTATTTCTTTCAAAGAAATATATATAGTTCACAACCAAAGTACACTGAGTGGACCAAGGAAACCGAAGCTAGTCTACGATAGATATGAATTTTGTGAATCCATATGATACTGAATAGAGGAACCACTTTGAAACGGAACATTTTTATAGCATATATATTTAAAAAACCAGGGATTTCATAGTTGCACAAGAATGCTGAATTCATGAATGTTACTACTTCTCAGTAGGACTTCAAGTTCCCTTTTCTCGCTTTGAAAAAATGCAAGACCAAATCTTTTCCCAGGTACTGCGGTTACACTTGAAAAAGCAAATACTCTCAGAGGTCATGTCATTCAAGTAAAAAAACCTGTAATCGGAAATGTATTTCAGTTTTTCCCAAGAGATATCAATTAGATGGTAAGATAATGGAACTTGCTTTGCATGGAGGTACAAAGATATTTTTATAACAAAAAAGAATGGTTGCTGTTGGTTTTTGTTGTTTATGGTGTGTGGTTGTGAAAGGAATGTCAGTGTGAGTGACAGAAGAAATTCAGAGTTTCAGATAGTGATTACTGGAGTGAGCAAACAGAAGAAATTTTGACACATGACTTGTAAGTGCCGTGGAGTTCTTTTCTCTTGCTATGATGATGTGAGTTAATTCTGAAAAATACTACATCATACCTGGCAGTTTTCTTACCAGCTCTGGAATTAGTCTGCAATTTATTTAGTTATGTCTGCAATGGAGTGGTACATGAAGTGTAGACCTTTCTCCCTTCATCCTTCTGGACATGATTAAATGTTTTTTGTATGCCACAAACTAACAAGAAAATTATTTATTTGTGCTTTTCCTGAGGTGTGCTTTCTGAAAAATAATCTTGCAACTTGCCTAAAGAATATTGCTGCATTACTCGAAGTGATATTAAACCCACATAAAACTAGTTAGCTGATTTTTTTAACTAGATAACTGAAACTTGTATTCTGGGCTAAAACCACAGTTCAGTGTTACAACATGTGCAGCTGGCTGAGAGTATCTTCTTTAATTGTGAATTCACACAAATCGTACAAAGACAGCTCTTCTGGTACTCCTAAAAGGGCTCTTCAGAGTTCAGTGCAGTGGTCTGTGAAGTCAGGTGGGAAGGAAATGAGGCAGCACATCTGGAATAGGCCCTGTGGTTTGGCAGCAGACCGGTGTGCTCTGTTCAGCCAATAAGATCAGAAGTGTTGTGTCTTTCAGATATGCAGTTCTCAAAAGGCATCTTTTTCTGTTTTGTCTAAAATAACTGCCTTATTTGATGGGATTTTTTTGGCCTACGTTTTGAGGAGAAAAAGAGCTATATTCATTTTCATTACTAGGGATTTTTGGATGCTGTTAGTCACCTCTATAAATATCAATTAGGTCTGAAAGGGGGAGGATTATAGGGAAAGAGTCCTCTTGATAAATTTGTCAGTTAGGTCTGTTCATAAAGTGCTATATTCTCTAGGAATAAACTTCATCTTAAGGGAATCTCACAGTTAATTCAGAAAAATATTTCAGTATAGATTCTTAATGTTATGAAAAAGATCTGGGTTGCAAATTTTAAAAATAGAGAAATAGCCTCGAAGAAAGGCTTAGGAATATGCTTAAAGCACCAGAGCCATTTTTCTTTGAATGTCAGTCTCTTTATTTCAGCTTCTTGGCAGCCTGCTACACTGTCTGAGTGGTGATGATGTCTACTTTCCTGTTTGCTGCTTTGTTGTGTTTCTAACTGAATGCCTCTTTCTTTTTAATTTCTGTGGCAGCATCCCTTGCTCCTCCTCCCCCCTCCATCCTACAGGTAACTCCACAGTTACCACTAATGGGATTTGTGGCCAGAGTTCAAGAAAACAGTAAGTTTGCTGCTTCGTTGTGCTATGTTTTATTACTGGATGTGGCTTTTGTGTTGATGAAAGATTTAACTGCATATAGCTAGAATTCTGCTTTCTCTGCTGGCTCTGCAAGTTTGTCTGCAATTGTGAAGGGTGGGAAAAGGAAGTAATTTTGTTGGAGGTACCTGATCCTTCCTTCTCTGAATTTTATTGTCTCTAGTGTATTTTCACAAGTTGTAACTGTTGGTCCCAGTGCAACTAATTGGGATAGGGAGTATTACTTCAACCTGCTACCATGGTTATAGAGACATTTTTATGGTTGTACTATTGCTTATTTTCAGTTTCAGATACTCCTCCCCCACCACCGCCTGTGGATGAGGCAGTGTTTGATGAGTCTCCACCTCCACCCCCACCTCCAGAAGATTATGAGGAGGAGGAAGCAGCTGTGGTGGAGTACAGTGATCCGTATGCA